GGGGGGGGGGGGGGGGGGGGGGGGGGGGGGGGGGGCGTCAGCCAAGCAGCCAAACCACGCTCGCGCTCACGCATATACTCGTGCCTCCAATACGGTGGGTAGTTGTGACGAGGCCCTCGACCCTCTGATGTCGGAGCCCCCTCTTACAAAGCGATATCATTTCATATATCGGAGCCATGACTGTACATATGCCGTACGTGACACAAGATACGACGCCCCCCCCAGCACCAATTCTCAAAGGTCGATTACCCCACAGAGATAACAGCCGCGGCGCCGAAATGGCGGCGGTGGAACCGTCTCTCGTCGAGAGCATTCCGAAGTAAAACGTGTCTCCATAAAATTGTGCAACCCTCATCTTCCTCGTGGGGGTTGCGAACATCGCTCAAGGGGGGGTTTCGGATCTTGTATCACCTATAGGGAACTCACGTCCGACTCGGAGAAGGGCTTCTTGGTGGAGTCGAGGAGGCCGGCCAGGTCGTGCTCGCAGTACTCGAACACCAGGAACACCATCTCCCGCCTCCGCCCCACGGCAACGTCCAGCAGGCGGACGCAGCTGGGGTGGGAGATCCGCTTCAGGAGCTGGATCTCCCGCAGAGATGTGAGGGGGAACCCATCCTGCTTCTCGTTGTGCAGGATTACCTTTGGGGGGCGCGGGGGCAGTGGGGGGGGGGGNGGGGGGGGGGGGGAGAGGGGGGGTAACTCATAGCCGTGCATGCCGTCGTCGGACCATTGACCTCGTACCCCAACAAAGCCGGGACGGAGTACGCCGGGTTCTCACCGAAACAGGCTTATCACATCGCCAAGCGCGACGCGCCGTGAGGTATTCGGCGAGTCGCGTAAAGGGTGCGCTCGCTGCATCCTGGTAGGGGCGTTCGGCATCTTGTGCTTACTTCCTTGCGTACGGGTGACAGCAGTGGGGGTAGGGGGGGGAGTGTTTTCGTCTTGTGAAATAAAGCCTATCCTACTTCCAGTTGTGTGGGCACGCAGACAGTCGTAGAGGAGGGGGTTGAATTGGGGGGGGTACTCGTGTGTGTTGCTGCTTCGTGCCTTCGCTGTCGGGGGGTCCCGTGCATAGACCCAGAAAAGCACCTTGGTTTCTCTCAATCCCCCCAAGCGTTCGGACGTTTTCCCTTGGTCGACCGGTTTGAGGGGGGTCGATGCTGACAACAACAAATATACTCCCAAGTGAGTGTGCGAGCACACACAAAAGAGAGAGAGGTCACGAGCTGTGGTGTGTGTCTCTTGCCAAAGGGGTTGTAGCGAGTTATGGGTCCCCTTCGGGGGGGGGGGGGGGNTTCTCACCGGACCAGGCTCTCACATCACCAAGCGCGAAGCGCCGTGAGGTATTCGGCGAGTCGCATGCAGGGTACGCTGCATCCTGCTGAGGGTATTCGGCATCTTGTGCTTTACTCCCATGCGTACGGATGACAGCTGCGTATGACTTAATTTCATTTCTGGTGCTTCACTTCCTAAAACAGTTGTGAGCACTGTGTAACTGCCTCGAGGGTGCTTGACCATTTTAACACAACGTGGTGCGATGATCCCCCTTGCGCGGAGTGAGGGTTCTCCACCCCGCACAACATGGTCCACTCGACCACCATTGTGGTTACCGCAAAAAGAAAAACGGAGGTGAAAAAAAAACACGGTAACCTGGTTGCCGAGTTCACGAAGTGAATGGCTTGTTTGAGAACGTCGTTGCCAAGCGACCAAAACCCGATCCCGATGGGAAACACCGAGGGGGGGGTGTCGATTGTACCTGCTTAACTCTGATGCCTCTCGTGGCCGGCTGGTTAGCCCAGTCGACCTACCACAAGACACAAGGACATGGACACATAACACAAGAGCGTGCTTGCGGTACTGCCGCCCGCTTCAACTGCATGCGTGTTGTCTTGAAGGTCAACTAAAATACAAACACGCGCGCACACACACTGCACCTGGCAACCACCGTCGCGGAAAGCGTGGCCCACGAAGCTGGAGGAGTAGAGAGATTCGTAAACACCACGTCAGTAAGCACCGCTCGCGGGAGAAGGGAGATGACCGCGGGCACCGCGGGGAGGGAGTGCTGCACCCTCCTCGTCAAAACACCACAGGCAAGAACCGAGCTCTGCAGAGATGGATTGATGCGAGGAAATTCGCCGCTCGGAAAATACGGAAGAAAGCACACCCGCAACGCGAGGTGGACCGAGAAAGACACGAGACCGCAGCGGCCGTCAAGGCGGCTGCGAAGAAGAAGGCAAGAGAGGGCGACCTATCGTTCGGCACGTTCAACGTACGCACGCTCGCCTACAGCGATAGGAACCCCATCGGTCACAACGTGATGACGGTCATGAAGATTTGTTCCGCGACCGGCTGTGATGTGATACAACTTCAGGAGACCCGACGAGAGGGGCAAGGTTCAATTGCACACGACGGGTACGTGATCATCTGGAGTGGCGCCCGTGCTGGCACCAAGGATAAGGGGGGCGTACAAGGTGTGGGCACAGCGATCAACGAGGCCATGTGGGAGAGTGTGGGCGAGGAAGGTAGGACGGTGGAGTGCATTAGCCCGAGGCTGATGAAGGTGCGTCTACAAATTGGCCGCACCTGCGGAGTAACTTTCGTGGTGGGGTACGCCCCCACGGAAACTGTCCGCACCACCGCGGGCGGTGATGTTAACGCCAAGGACTCCTTCTGGACTGCTCTCGACGCAGTGATGCGGGAGGTTCACAGCCGTGACCATCTCGTGGTACTAATGGACGCCAACGCACGCACTGGTAGGAGGCGAGACGGGTGCTGCGATGCCAAGATTATGGGCGCGTACGGACGCGACATTATGAACAACAACGGGGAACGACTCCTTGGACTGGCATCAGACAACCAACTCTCCCTGACCAACACCTACTTCCGGACACCGAAAGGTGGAGTGTAGCACACATTCCAGAGCTCCAACAAGGGGAAGGAGAAGTACCGCCTCGACTTCATCCTCATGCGTCAGACGGACCGGCGTTTCGTGCGCAATGTCTCCGTCAAACGTGTCGACTTCAAAGACTCTGACCACAACCTCGTGCTTTCGACTGTCCGTCTCCCCCTCCGTGTCGCACCCAACCGACGAGTGCGGGGGAACAGCGGAAGCAGCCGGATCCGACTCGACCTCGAGCGGTTGAGGAAGGCCAAACACCTACGGGTCGCCTTCCAAAACAGGGCCTCCAGCCGCCCTCCGCCCACGGCGCTCAGGCGGCCAACGGGAGAGACCGCCGCCGAGCTGACGGCTACGGCGGTGTCGGCCGCTGCTGAGACCGCGCCGCTGGCGAGGTGCGCACGAGGGCAGAGAGGCTGGTACACGAGCGAAGCGCAGCACGAGATCTCCGAAGCGTCTAAATAGATTAAGGCGGCCCAGCAGCAACTGCGTGGGGCCTCAACGAACAGCGCCTGCGAAGCGACCCTGAAGGCGATGCTTGAGGCGGCGCGGAAGAAGCACAGCATCGCGAGGTGGAGAGCACTGGAACGTTCTTCGAGGGCTATGTACGGCAGCTCGAGAAGAAGAGC